AGAGAAGTCAAAATCCACTTAAACCTCCCCAGATTTTTAAGGGAAAAGTAGTAGTCTTGCCTTATTTCAAATCTATTGTTAACTCCCTAGTGCAAGAGAATGGGAGCTGTTTTGTGACAAAGTAATGGAGACTGTAGTTGCTATGTAAGAATTTTTAAATGATTATATATCCTGCAGTTATTACAAGAAACTATAATTTATATTGGGGTATCTGAAGGTTTATTATACATTTGTCATGTCTGAGTTCAGGGGGAACTGTGCAGGGAAGAGACACTAGTTTGGCAGATGAGAGAATCCAAACAACAGTTGGGGTGCAATTGGAGTACCATTGTGCTTCAGGCCAAAGTGACCCAGAGTCTCTTACAATATTCAAAAGAATAGTACAGATTTCTTCTGAGGGGAAGAAGAATGTTTGTTTCTCAACAAATATTCTGCCTGAGAGGACAGATTTCAAAGATAGGTTTCAAGAAGCCTGAAGGGATTGGTCTTTCTCTTTCCTCTGTCTAGGAACAGGTGCACCCTACAGAAGAACTCAAGAGGAACATAGTACATTTTATTGTTTATAAGACAGATTTTCTCCAAATCGTTAATACTTTGAGTATTGAATCAAGAACACTTTGCTTTACAGAAGTTTTGTTTTTTTGTCAGGGATTAGCAGTGACACTGCCTAAATAGAACTGAACTGCAGAACCTGGACTTAAATCTGATTGTGTTTGGTACAGAGTAGACTGCAACCCAGCCCCTGATGGGAGAGAAGGAGTATTATGCAAGTTCACCCGGAGCCAAGTGATAGGGGGTAGCCTGAGACCTGGGAGAGGAGGTGTGAGACAAGACGAGGAGAGGCCAGCAGTGCTGTATATCCAGCATTTGTGCCACCTGGAATGCATTCGTTATCTCTACAAAAGTTCTGGTTCATGCTCATTTAGATCATTTTATCTGGTAGACAGTTTTTCCCATTTACTTTCTAAAGTCATGTTTATGATTTTTAGTAAATACTGTGGCTTGTGTGACAGCTAAAAGATGAACGCATTGTTACTTTGTTAGTACTGTTATTTTAAAGTGTGCACAGTGAGCTGAAGACATTGCAGAGTAGATATGAAGGGCAGGTGCCTAGTCCAATGACTTAATAATGGGAGAGCTTATCTCTGGGGAGAAGACATTGTGCATAAAGCCTGAGCTTAAATTTACAGCGCTGTATAATAGTTCCCTGTATAGATATCCTTAGGGCAGGCCAACACCATTTAGCGCCGTGCCCAGGACAGCCATGCTGAAACGTGCTCTGCCTATTCATTCCTCTTCTGTGCAGGCCAAAATCTGGAAGTGAACCAGGGTAGCCATGCACACAGTGCTGCTCTCAGGCTCTCTGCCATAGGAGTGCATATTGGTGCATTCCCAGGGCACTCAGAAGCAATTACACCTAATTTTCTGTATGTAAAGCCAGGAGTGAATGGGTGGGTCACTCCTGGTTGTGGGTGGCCAGGTCATGGGTCACTCTGAGATCAAGGTGCTGACTGGGGACAGGAAGAGGAAGCAGAATCCAGGGACAAGTCAAGTTCAGGCAAAGAGTGGGGTCAGAGATCAAGCCAGGTTGAGAAGCCAGGATATCAAGTAGAGAGAAGAACAGGAGCACAAGCTGGAAGGAGAGAATAGCAAAGCAGTCTGGGATCAGGTTGAGCCCTGCTGCTCAGACATTTTTGTTCCTGCTCAGGAGCTTATATGGAGGATTAAAGGGTCATCTGTCCCCAACTGGCCACTCTAATGAGGGTTAATTTGCAGCACAGCTGCCACTCCAGGCAAAGGGTTAATATGTGGCACAGCTGCCAAAAAGCTTGGCCCCAACTGGACTAGTCCAAGACACGCAGCGTGCATGAGAAGACCTGATACTTACTGCAGCAGGGAGTCTGCAGGTGCTGCATCACACTTTAAATATACTGTAGGCCTAATCTTTACAGCTGCGTAGTACCCTCCCACCACCACCACCAAGGAGCTCATGAAATTCAGCATCTGGCAGGATCAGACAATTATTTGATATGAAACTAACATTGCCACTTTTCATTCACTCTCCTATAAGGAAGCCATTTCTTCTACTTGGCTAGGAACGGCAACTGCTTGTCATTCAGAGAACCTGGCCAGCCATGGGACACTCCCTCCCCCAGGTCTTGCGTAACCAGAGCCCCGGACAAGGCAGCCTGATGGAGCATGTATCCCCTCGTTCCAGGAATGAGCTCAAGAAACAGAGAGAATCTTTCCATTTTAACTAAAGCTTAAAGAATTTCCATTTTAAAATTGTTGTCTCTTTCCACTCATTCCTTTTCATTATTTCACCTCCTATTTTTTAACCTACTTTCAATATCAAATACATCCTGAAAATACTACTTTGCCTACAAGTGCATAACTACATTGTTCTGAAGCATACCTCACCCACTCGCTCCTGCTCTCTGCACAATAACTCCTGAAAATGAGGCAATGTAAGCAGCTCAGAGACTCCCTGAGGACACACCAAGTGCCATACATGGGCTGGGGCATGCTTACTGGCACACTTTCAACTCTGAACTTCATTTCTATAGTTTGAAGCAAGTGGGCAGGGGAACTTCTCAGCAATGCTCCCAGGAAAGTGGTATGAATGCATTAAGTGCCTTCCTGCAGGTCACTGGGGACCAAGAAGGTTATAGGTTCCTCAAGAGCTGCCCATCTCCCACGGCTATTTACCCCCAGGGGAGAAGAGGTAGTAGTTATGCCACTACCCTCCTCAGTCTCCCTTGCTTACCTTTAGCATTCTTCCATCCATTTTCCTCCCCCTTCCTTCCCTCTCCTCCCTTCTCTACCAATTGGTTTTCTAATTTCCACCTATTTACATTCTCACTGACCTCCTTTTAGCTTCTTTCGCTCCTTGAAAATCTCAGAACAACAGTGGAGTCTCCCTATGCCTGAAGAAGGGCGCTTGTGCCTGAAAGCTTGCAAGGGTATAGATTACAGCCATGTTGTCTAAGGACATAGGCAGACAAGGTTCTTTGGGTAAATCTAATGTATTTTATTGCAAAGAACTTTGTTCCAATTACTCAGTTGGTCTAATAAAAGATATCACATCTACCCAAAGAACCTTGACCACCCTCCTCAGGAATTTTACCAGGATTTGATAGTTTTAAACTGGGGCTGGGCCTTCTCAAGCACAATCCCTCTTTAATTTTTCCTAGAGTTGGAGAAAGAGTTACATTTTCTCCTATTCTGGTACGACCTCGGTGATGCAGCTAAGCCATGAGGCCTCAGGCCTGAAAACTGATGATCATCATCTTCAAGTTCCCACTCACAGACTTATGGGATGAGTTCAGCATCATGCAAGATGGAGTCCCAGGCTAGAAGGCAAAGTTCAAAGAGATGCGGTATATTAGTTGAAGATGCAAAGTTTGGCGCAGTGCTGTACGTGTTCTATGGAGGGCAGGGAGGGAGGAGTTACTACTGAAAGCCTTGATGAAGGACATAGGGCATTTCAGAGAAGGGAGGGAGAGACTGTTTCGAACACAACAAGGAAGCAAGTTCCGAGCATTAAACTGAACAGCTGCAAACATTTAAGGCTTTTCTGCTCTATTATTCCACTGATAGATAGCATACTGCCAAAGAAGGATAAATAGCTCAGAAGCAAAATTTGTCAAAAGTATGCCAACTTTTTTTAACAGAAAATGTCTTAATAAACAAGAGAGAACTGCAAAATGAGAGACAGTTGTCAAAAACACATTGAAATGTCAACAAAACTGAAAAAAACTGTTCATTTTCATCAAAATTTATTTCTTTACAGGAAAAATTTTGCAGGTGTCTCAATAATAAGTTCAGGCCTCCTAGATTATGCTGTTCAGTCACAGGTGTAACCAAGGATGAGTCTGAACAGCAAAATTCAGCTCCTGATCCAAACTTCTCCAGTGTTTGTTATCATGAATTTGGTGATGTAGTGACTAGGCATGATAATACATTCCTTCTTTCATAATGTCCCTTTTCTAATAATATTGTTAGTAAAGAAAGATGAACATGCAGGCTGCAAGGCAATTTTTGTTCTAATAAATCATCCAGGACTCGCTTTAAAAAAAATCTATGGGGGGAAGCAGAACTTTCCCATGTTAGGACTCCACCCAATGGTGATTCTTTGTAAAAAAATGAAGACTTTCTGAAGTGTGCATGGAAGGAAAAGATTCTTTTCCCCCCAGTTTTTAAAAAATGCAGCATTTTTAAGCATAGATAGCTAAAATATATATATAAAAATGTAAAACTTCATCTGTGTCTAATGCTGGATGGGTTTGAAAAAAAAGAAGCTTCTTAAATTAAGTAGCTGTAAATGAATTAAAGCGAAACAGGGAGCCTGAGTGTTTCTTTGATTTGTGTGCAGAGGTCCAATGCACAAACAGTAAGAGAACAGCCTAATTGACTTTGGGAGCTGAGAACAGTGGGCCCATCCCAGGACCCTCTGCATTGTACAGGATTAGGCCCAATGTCTGCTGAAAGTGCTCTGAGCACTGGAAGTGGTGAGGAAATGTTTCATTTTGTTGTGAAAAAAAATGTTTGGTTTTGTTTGGTTTTTCATTAAGCTTTGGTCCCTGGTCCAAAACAAACAAAAAACAATGTGTCAGTACTGGGGGCTTTCATTAGAACCAGAAATTCTTGGTGAAACTTAAATTTTCTCTCAAAAATTCATTTTTTCTTTTTTATATATTTATTTTTGTAAAAACCTAAAAAAATCACTAAAAATGATGGGCAGCTCCACTTAGCACTCCGAACTCCTCTGAGTCATCAGCTGTTTAGGACATTTGGCACCTTATAGATCAGATTTTGATTGTAAGAAGGATACTTCTCACTGCTTTCATTCTTTATATATTTTTTTTCATATTGGGTAGCTTTATTATCATACCAGAACTCTGCCTGCATTGACTTGCTCTTTGTTGGCACAGGTACTATGTGTTATGTTCTTGCGAGAACTGAAAGTTAAGGAAACAAAAGCAAGAGAACTAGAGAACTTCTCCTTTTAGAATCAAGTGTTTGCTTGGTCTGTGCATCTGACAACCTAAAATGTCTGCAGGATATGTATGGGGTTGCTTTGCTTTGTTATTATGTAGTAACGTCAAGTTTCGGTGGGCGGCTGAAATTTCCTGCCGAAGTGAAGAAGGTGAACCAGTTGATTGGTAAGTAACACAAAAACTATATATTGGAAAACTTCTGGATTGTAAAAGTGAAAATGCTTTAAATTATATTGCATTAAAGAGCTAGATCACAGAACCATAATGTGTAATAATCAGCATTTTTAATCTTTTCTGCTTTTGAGGTCGTTTTTAAACCATATGTTTGGAAAGTAAAACATGGGTTTTTGAAATCTGATTTGGTTTCAAGGTAATTAACCATGTTGCTGCATTATGACTAAGTGCAAAATTAGCATGGATTTACAAAGCATTAATTATGATCAAAGTAAGCATGCTATCTGTGTTCTAATGCCAAGCCTCCAGGACATAGGTGAATGTATAGAAATGCTGTCAGCACCCAGGTTATCGGTGAATTGTAGCGGAAGTGGCTTTTTACTTGGATGTGGGCAAAACTGGGAGTTATTGTTACTAGCATGGTCTTAACTCACTTGTCCGCACCAGAATAAAACATGAGTATAAATTGCCTCCTTCTCTAGCAGTCTCTGTAGTCAAGAACTGATTGGATGGATCAGGGGTGGGGCATATTAGCAAGTAATGCAGGGAAGCTCACAGCGTGGGAAAGTGCACTACTTAGTCTGGCACTAAAGAGCCGATGTCATCTACCAGTGCTGCAAGCCAGTTGGAACTGTCAGTCTCCAGACCTGCTGGTCATACCCCTAGCAGCATTTGTGTTTTATAAAGAAGAAATAAGGAGCAGAAGCAAAACTGTTTCATTAAACTTCCTCTTGCACACAATCCATTATTACACAGTGGATCGTAATACATTGGAGTTAAAGTTGCCCTTATAGTCAATCCTTTCCCTTTGCAGTATTTCATGATTGCACATTTTTGGCATTCTGATGCCTTCCTTTGTAGTATTTGATACTTAGAGAGATCACTTGTGCCTGATCTCTGGTGTGACAACGTCTGTGTTCTCAGGACACATATGGAATTGCATGCTATATCAAGGGAGGAAGCTATCAAGGTGTAGTATTTACTTTTATTTAGCTCATCTTGAAGTCTTCACTCTACAATTTATAGTGCACTTACTAAGAGTTTTACCTGCCTAAAGGACTCTAGGTTCAGTCATTCTAATATAATAAAAGCCTTAGTGTGTCTGTCTGTCTGTCCCTAACACTTTATTTGCATTCTGATTGGTTGTCTCAGCAGCCAATCACAATGCTGACTGAAACAACCCATCAAAATGCTCTGCACAGACAGACACACATGGCGGAGCGCCGCCAAGATGGCAAGGACTGAGGGGCCAGAGTGAGCAAGAATATCTCCCCACCCTGCTCCTTGGAGGCAGATGGCAGGGATGGAGCGGGGCAGGGGGAGCAGTGAGGCAAGTGGTGCTGGCCTTGCCTGCCCCCCCCCCACCCCAGCCCTGCTCCTTAGAGGCAGCACAGGGTGCTGGCGGTGCAGCACTGGCTTTGACCCCCCACCCCCAGCTCCTTGGAGGCAGACAGCAGGGATGGAGCGGGGGCAGTGAGGCCAGTGGCGCTGGCCTCACCCCCACCCCCTCAGCCCTGCTCCTTGGAGGCAGTGGCAGCGCAGGGGGCTGGCAGCACGGTGCTGGCCTCACCCCCCACTCCGGCCTCGCCACCACATCCAAGGCAGAGCAGCAGCACCATGAGGCGCTGGGTGGCAGCACCCCCCGCCCCCCCCCATCATCATGATGGGCAATTTGCTAGTCTGTAATAAGGGCAGAGGGCATCTCTTTTAATTCATTTAAAACCTTTGAATAAACAAGACCCAAAACACCAGACTTGCGTGTGAGCTCCTAAGTGATTGCTTCAAGATATTAATGCTCTTAAGTTCTGTTGATGTCAGTGGGACTTGCAGCACCTAGCAAGTCACTTGCCACATAGTAGGACAATGCCAGGGTTAGACAATATCTTGATAACTGCATGCGTAGCTGGTCATTTTAATTCTTCAGCTTGGAGTCATGGTCACTAACCCCACTAATTAAGCAAAGGCATGAAAATTATTAAGCAAAGGCATGAATTCTATTAACTCAACATTTAATCATAGACAATATTTGTGTCTAGACCAGAGTCTAATAAACGGAGTCCTTTCACCTCCTTCTCCTCTGTTTCTCTCCATTACACATAATTGCCAGGTAATAACTGATCCTGCAAACACTGAAGCACTTGAGTATTTTGCCGTAAATAGGCATCTGTGAAGATACTTGCATGACTTACATTCCTCTTGTGCTCAGCTCCTTCCTGGAAGGGCCCTAAACGTGCCACCAGGAAACTGTCAAGTATGGCCAAGCCTTTCAATCACAAAAAGCCATCAGACATGCCTATTGCAAAACTGTTAAGTGCTAGGAGAATTTATGCATTTCTGTACCTTTCACAAGCAGCTTGGAAAGATTTCATGTACTAATTTTTGAGCATGTTATTATTTGTCTTCTTCCCATCCTCAGATCTTGAGATGAAGAGAATAGGATTGTTATGACTCTGAAGAGTGCTCATCAAATTAATCTGTAAAATCTCCTCCTAGTTCTCTTTATAATACTTCAGTAAGAACTACATCCATTGCTAATGCTGATGTAATATCACTAGCAGCTAATGATGAGCTAATTGGTCTGCCAGGACTGCTGAAGTGGTGTATTTCTCTCCTGTGTATATATACATTTTGCTACCTAGACATTGCTCCAAAATATGTTTGTATTGCTTTTTCTGCTTCTCTCTTAAATTTGTCTCTCTCATTGTAAACTAATTGTGGCAAGTGCTTTTTTTTTTCTATGTGCATATATACAGCTGGCACAATTAGGCAAACCCTAGTTGAGCTCACTAGGGTCTCCTTTAATAGAAGTACTAATAATAAATTATTTTACTAGTACACTCAAAGAAAGTAGTCTGGATACCCACATGGACTTCTGCTTTGGAAAACTTGTGTTGATGAAGCCGTTTTGTTCACCAAGAATATCAGTGTGAGCTTGAACCTCTGGTGACTGATGAGCATTCTAAACTTTGAAGATGATTCACGTTTGTGGTTAATATCTGTAAACACTCATTTTAACAAGAGTTCGTCTAAGTGCAAATCTATTTGGAAAAGTAAAGCTCTAACAATGCCAACATGGGGCTCCACATTTATTCTCTTGAGAATTTCATCAAATACACTCAATGTATTGGTTAAAAACATGTTTCCTTACTGCCAAACTTTAAGACAGACTAGAACCTGACACTTCACTGGGTTTCCTCCTTTCTGATGAAGCACCAGGCATAGATTCATAGATGCTAGGGTCAGAAGGGACCTCAATAGATCATCGAGTCTGACCCCCTGCATAGGCAGGAAAGAGT